GTGCACCACCCCCCAGACACACATGAGTGGGGGCGGGGCAGAGAGAGAAAGGGAGAGAATCCCAAGCAGGCTCCACACTGTCAGTGAAGAGTCTGATGCGGGGCTTGAACTCACAAACTGTGAGATCGTGACCGAAGTTGAAATCAAGAGTTGGGCTCTCTACTGACTGAGCCACTCAGGCACCCCCTACCTTTTTTTTGAAGAAAGAAATAGGTGTTCCAAGTGTTCAGCTCTTCTGTTTTCTTGTCCCCAGAGGCAGGATGTCTCAATTCTGCCCGTGGGGGGATGCACTGGGGCCATGCCAGGAGACATTTTTGGTTGTCGCAACTGGGGAGAGCTACCAGCACCCAGTGGGTGAAGGCCAGGGGTGCGATTGAACACCCTAGGGTGCAGGGATGGCCTTGCCACAGAAAGTGATCCTGCCCCAAGTGTCAAAGTGGAGGGCAGGAGACCCCACTACGGATGTGGAAAATAGTGTGAATGTGTTAGCATGTTGCATGCCAGTCTTTTTTTTTAAAACACACGCACAGAAAGAACATTTAGCACTGTGTGGTTTGTGTTATTTTCTAAACATGGGTATATATGCTGTGGGAAATCTACAGCTCTCTTTATTCATTTGACTTTTTTTTTTTTTTGAGATTTGTTTAAGGGATCTCTCCACCCAACATGGGGCTCAAACTCACGACCCCCAGATCAAGAGTCGATGCTCCCACTGACTGAGCCAGCCAGGTGCCCCTCATCTGACATGCTTTTCTTTAATGTTTATTTTTGAGGGAAAGAGACAGAAAGACAGGGTGTGAGCAGGGGTGAGCAGAGAGAGAGGGAGACACAGAATGCGAAGCAGGCCCCAGGCTCTGAGCTGTGAGCACAGAGTCCCATGCGGGACTTGAACTCACGAACAGTGAAATCATGACCTGAGCTGAAGTTGGACGCTTCACCGGCTGAGCCCCCCAGGCGCCCCAGCACATGTTTTGAAGAATATCACAAGTCAGGGCGCCTGGGGGGCTCAGTCGGTGAAGCATCCAGCTCTTGATCTCAGCTCAGCTCTTGATTTCAGGGTGGTGAGTTCAAGCCCCGCGTTGGGGTCCATGCTGGGTGTGAAGCCTACTCAAAAAAATATATATGTCACAAGTTGACACAAACGGCTAGTTTGTTTAAATTCTGTAGTTCCGCTCCGTTAGGAATGGGCCACATTCCATTTATCCTTCTTCCACAGGTGGACAGCTAAGTGGTCATGCTTTTCGTGACAGGCGTGCCAGAGGGAGACATCTTTGCACATGCGCTTTGCACACTCATGGGCGTGTCTCTGGGACAGGTGCTCGGGAGTGAAATCGCAGGCAGTAGGAGCACAGCTTTCAGTTCACACCTTCCTCCGCACTCAAGACTATGTGTCGTCAGGTTTGGCGAGAGGAGGCTCGTTAATGTTGCTTCAGTTTGCATTTACCTGATTGCCAGCCCCTCGCCTTTGCTCCAAAGCCCTCTGCACGGTCCCAGTCACAGCACCCGGTGACCCAGACATTGGTCCTGGCGGGGTCACTCCCCCTGCAGGGTGCTGGCTGCTCATCCTGTCTCAGAGCCACCGATTTCCAGGCATAGCGTCCCCGCACTCCGCTCTGCTGCTGCAAGCCCGGCCACCCTTCGACAGGGCACCACATGGCTGATTGGCTTTCGCCTTTTATCTTCCGTTTTATGATTACACAGTAGTAACCTTCGCTGGACTTGCCTGTGCCCGCGCCTCCCGGCGTGTTCCCGGAGGGTAACTTTGTTTCCGAGTTCCGGAGGCTTGTCACTCCTTGTCCCGCAGGTGGGGGCCGGCGGGGACTGGGCAGGTCTCCTGCTGACGCTGGCTGTGTCCCTGCAGGCAGACCTCTGCGTTATGACCCGGCTGCTGGGCTACGTGGACCCCTCGGATCCCTGCTTTGTGGCTGCCATCCTCACCATCACTTTCAACCCGCTCTTCTGGAATGTGGTAAGTACCCTGCGCCCATATTATCTGGGCCAGCTGCACGGACGGACAGATGGATGGCTCTTCCCTCCCCACGTCTGTCTCTGCCAGCGTGGAATCGTCCTTTCTGTTTCCCCATCAGTCTCAGAGACCAGGTAGGGGATGCGGACCAGGGAAGCCCCTCATTTGGGGGATCCCACAGCATCCTGACAGCGACAGCCCTGGGCTGCTGTGGGCTGGGCCAGTGGGGCTGTCCTGTGATGCGGCTGCCCAGCTGTGCCCGACGATCTCAGCCTCCTCCTCCGTGAAGTAGACGGCCTCGGCTTGGGGGCTGCCCTCCTCCTCTGCCATGCTTCGCAGGGAAGCCGTTTTCTTGGGAATCCTCGCCCCCTCGGATGTGCTCCGGAAACATGATTATTTGTCCTGAATGAGGCTTCCTGCAAAAGGGTCTGCACATCGCTGGACTTTGTGTGCTGGGTGGCAGCGAAAACAGGAGACAGAGCGGCACCCAGTTCTTCTGTGGGTCCAGGGGACGCCCAGGGGACGCTTGGAGCACGGAGAGCCGGGTGGGACCAGGCTGTGTGGGAAGGGGGCCCCGAACCCTCTGAGGAAGGTGTGGGAATGCAGGACAGTCTCTCCTGGCCCCTGTCAGGATGTGGGGGAAGCTCGTGGGGCTTCTGGAAGCATGGAAAGGGGCGGCAGCGGTGCCCCCTGAGGCTCCTGCCCTGTGCCTGATCTCGGGTTTGCTGATGCAGAGCCACGGACATCCTGTGATCACCCTTGAGGGTAGCCTGAAGAATAAGGCCAAGCTCAGCGTTAGCAACACGCTGTTCCAGACTGTTTTCATTTCAGGTGACCACTTGGTCCCAGGGGCGGAACAGGACATGTTTTTCATCTGGTTTATGAGTTAGGTCTTTTCTCTATCTGGGGAGGTCGCAGGTGGGTGGGAGCGGGGGGTGGGGTGGGGGCGGGGCTGCTCATCTCAAGGAGGCCGCATTCGGAATGTTCTGTCCCTCCTCTGGCCGCCCTGAACACGCTGGGCCCACGCTGAGGTGGTTGGTGGCGGCCCCCGGCTGAAGGCGACCTGAGGGGCGGGATGAGCTCTGAGGGCTTGCTTTGCCTAAAACCATTCCTCGGGCCTTCGGGGACCCCCGCCACACCCCACACGGGACCGCCTCCCTGTTCATTTCTGCTCTCCGTTCCTTCTCTGCCACTCACCGTCCCCACCCCCCAGCTTTCCTCCGGCAGCACAAGACAAGGAAGGGTAAAAAGGGTATGTGGCAGGCTGAAAAATGGCCCCCGAAAGATGTCCACACCCCGATCTTTGGAACCTGTAAAGGTTTACCTTGGATGGCAGAAAAGGGGAGCTCTGCAGGTATTAGGGGTGTCTGGATGGGGAGATTGCCGTGGATTGTTGGGGTGGCCTGACATGTAGTCACATGTGTCCTTATAAGGGTGGGGTGCAGAGGGAGATGTGAACACACTGGCTTTGGAGACTGAAGTGATACGGCCACCAGCCAAGGAAGGCGGGGCCACTGGTGGGGAAGGCGGGGCCACCAGAAGCTGGCACAGGCCAGGACTGGATTCTCACCTAGAGCCTCTGGGAGAGTGGGGCCCTGCTGGCTCCTTAATTTGGCCTAGAGACACAGATTTTGGACTTGTGGCCCACGGAGCTGTGAGAACGTGAATTCCTGTTGCTCTAAAGCACCTGGTTTGTGGTGATTGGTTACAGCAGCCACAGGAAACTGGTGCAGGGTATGAGACAGGTTGTTGGTCCCTGCGAGGAGAACCTGCAGTCGGCTAGGAGTGTGCAGTGCTCTCCCCTGTTCACCGTCCTCCCCTGGCTTTGACTGCCAGTCCCACTGGCCTCCCCGCGCTGGGGGCTCAGCTCGCCGGCCTGCTGGGTGAGCAGTGGGTCTCCGGGACACTTTTTCATGCACAAGCCCCTTCCATTATTTCCCGCTGGGCCTTCCAACAGTGTGGTTTTGCAAGTTCATTTTGAAGTCACTTGGTGGCCCACAGCCAGGTTGAGGTGCTTAAGATTTGCGAGGCAGGCAGCTCGTGTCTGTGCGCTCGCCGTAAGGCTTGTTTCTTTTGTCGTAGCGTTTGATTTGCCTTGTTTCTGCAAAAGTTGTACGCTGGCACGGTGTGTGGTCATTAGCGGGAGGGAGAGCTTTTCGGTCGGTTCAGAATGGGAGAAGTTACGGAAACACATTGTGGTTTAGCGGGCTGCCGCTGGCTGGGCAGTGGGAACGGGACCGGGAGGCTGGAAGAACTGGTCTGAGTGGGACCCCAGCTCTGTGACACCCTGGGGACGAGAATCCCAGCAGTAAGGGAGGTCACACCTGTGAAAGCCTTTGATGAGCATTGATTCAGTCCTCCCTCCCCGTGCTTGGCCATTGTGCTGAGTGCGGTTCACGCAGGATTTCAGCTGATTGTCACAGCAAAGGCTGTTGTTATCCCCTTGGGAAACCAGCCTCCAAGAGGTCCACTCATCTCTTACTTACTGATGGCCCACTGCATGCCAGGCGCGGGCGGCACACTGCCCTGGTTCTAAAGGAACTGACGTTCCAGGAGGCAGACACCGTGTGGGTAAAAACACGCACTGCATACAGCAGGATGGGGCTGGGGGGGGGGCGATGAGGCAGGGAAAGGGGGGAAGCTGGTCAGGGCAGGGGTGACCTTTGAGCAGGAACCTGCCCTCGTGTGGGAGGGAGCCCTCGGGTATCTGGAGAAGAGGAAGCAAGTGCAAAAGTCCTGGGTGGTTTCAAGGCTGGAATCCGACAGAGAGAGCGTGGAGGGCGGCAGGTCAGGGAGGGGGCTGGCCTAACAGAGCAGGCCTTGTAGGCCGTGGGCAGCACGTGCGATGGTTTCTGAGTGGGGAGCCGTGGAATGAATGGCCTGATCTGACTCGGGTTTTCTAGGCTGGCGTGGGCTGGTAAGAGCAGATGAGGGGTGAGGGTGGGGCGAGGGCGGGGCTGGAGGCTGTCACAGCGCTTGCGACCCAATGGTGGCCTGGACCAGGGTGGCACCAGCGGGAGTGGGAGAAGTGGTCAGAGTCCGGGCATGATTTGAGAGCAGGAAGAGTCAACGGGATTTACCCTGGTTCGGTGGGGAAGTGCAAGAGGGTTCTAGTTGGGACCTAAGAAATGGGTATTTGGTCTTCAATCTGGCTCACAGCTCTCCGAACCCTTGAGATTTCCTAGGTGCTGAGTGTCATCAAGGTGTCTTGTGTTATGTTAATGAGGTGACTTATTAATGACTTATTAATGAGGTGA